GTTGTGTCATCTGCATAACGCAGATTGTTGATGAATCTTCTTCCAATCCTGATATCACATTCCTCCTCAAAGAGCCCAGCCTCCTGAATAATCTGTTTTGCATATAAATTGAGAAGGTATTGAGATAAGAGTACACCCTTCCCAAGTTTGAACCATGCAGTGTTTCCTTGCTCTGTTCTGATGACTGCCACCTGGTCCAAGTTCAGGTTTCACATAAGCATGATCAAGTGTTCTGGGATTCCCATTCTTCTCAGAGTTAGCCACAGTTTGTTGTGATCCAGACAATCAAATGTCTTTGCATAATCAATAAAACAAAGATAGAAATTCCTTTGGTACTCCCTGCTTTCAACCAAGATCCATCTAACATTAGCTACAATAGCACTAGTTCCATGACCCCTTCTAAAGGCAGCCTGCACTTGTAGCAGTTCTCTGTTGATGTGCTGTTCATTTTTGGGTAATCTTCAGCAGAATTTTGCTTGCATGTGATATTAATGTTATTGTTCAATAATTTCCACACTCTGTTGGATCACCTTACTTTGGAATGGGAACAAATAGAGATCTCTTCTAGTCAGTTGGTCAGGTGGTTATCCTCCAGATTTCTTGGCACAACTTGATAAGCACATCTAGGGCAGCACCTGTTAGTTGAAATATGTCAGTTGGTATACCAACAATTCCTGGGGTCTTCTTTTGTGCCAATTCCTTCAAAGCAGCTTGAACTTCCTCCTTCACCACAGGCTCTTGCTTTTATGTTGTTTCATGAAATTCTTCTGTGTCTGCCAATTTTTTTTGGTACCATGACCCCATATACTCTTTCCATCTTCTTCAAATACTTCCTGGATCATATAATATTCTGCCCAAAGCATCCTTAAGTATTGCAACTTGAGGTTTGAATTTGTTCTTCCATTCCATTAGCTTAAGAAATGCTGAGCGAGTTTGGTCTTTTTGATTTTCTGACTCCAGCTCTTTGCACATTTCATTATAATACTTTACTTTGTTTTCCCGTGCTGCCATTAGAAATCTTTTGTTTAGCTACTTAATATCTTGATTTCTTCCCTCTACTTTGGCTTCTCAGCACTTTAGATCAATATTCAGAGTCTCTTCTGAAATCCAATTTGTTTGGTTTTTTTTTTTTTTTAAGTTTTGTAGTCTGTTAGGTATGTCTCAAACCTTTAACCTGAGCCTGTTTTCTTCTCTTCAAGGAAGACTGATTTTTTTTTCTAGTCTATTTATAACATTGCATAGTCTATCTCCACATACAGATTCTTATATTGTTACTCTCCTGCTGATTCTTGAGGTTGCATGACTCTACGTAAAATGGATAATGTGGCTGACATCTCGGTCCCTGATAAGTTCGCAAACTAGAAATATATTAAAAAGAGCAAATGAAAGTGAAAATGCTTATGTTACTGAAACATTTATGTTGCTATCAAGTGATAAGTACTGTCACAATGATGAACTTTGAGTTCTAACTGGAATGGGGTTTGATGTGTTGGACTTCTTGGGCTCATTTTTTCATGACATTTGGGAAGTTTTCTATGAATAAACCTTTCTGAGATTTCCCCCCTCTTCCTCTTTTTGGCATTTAAATTACATGTAAATTTTCCTTTTGAAAATGTCCCGTATAACTCTTGTTGTGGTGTACCACTGAGGTGGAACCAACTCATAGCTAACTCTTAGGTAGGTTTTCAGAGGCAGTTAATTGTACAGAAAAGACTGTCCATCCTTCTCCTGTGGAGCAGCTGGTGGCCTCGAACCTTGTGCCTTTGTGATTGCAGTGCAACTTCTTGCCACTAGGCCACCAGACCTCCCTATATAACTCTTAGGCTTTTTATGTATTTTTACTCTTTGAGCTTATTCTCTAACAGATTACTTATTAAGGGATTTGTCTTTTACTTTGCCGACTTTTTCTTCCACTGTATTTTTATTCTTTTATATACTTCCATTGAGTTATTTTGGATGTTTCATTGTTTGGATTATCTTGGATTTAAAGTCAATATTTTTGTATGTTTTCTAATTGTTTATTTAGTTTGTAATACTGTTCTTTATTATTTTCCTGAATTTTTCTATGGTTTTCTTGTTTTCCTTGATTTATCTAAGTGGCCTATATATAAGCCTGCTGAATTCTTTATCAAGTAATTCTTCCATTATCTCTTTCTCAGAAAAGGTCTCCCCGTATCCTCCTGCCCCCTCCTTTTAGCTTACCTATTGTTCACAGCTTTAGTTTGCTTGGCTCCACAGTCAACGCTCTTGGCACCAACAGCCAGGAAATTAAAAGATGTATTGCCAGGGAAAGTCTGCTGTTAGGAACCTCTCCAAAGTTCTGAAGAGCAATGGTGTCTCTCTCTGGAGACTAAGGTGTGTCTGATACAGGCCATGGTCTTTGCTGTCACTTGTTATGCATCGGTGAGTTGGACAATAACTAAGGAGGATAGAAGGAGAACTGATGCCTTTGAGCTGTGGTGCTGGAGAAGAGTATTGAGGGTACCATAGACTGCTAAGAAAACAAACAGATTCATCTTTGAGAGGGTTAACCCGGGCTGCTCCTTGGAAGCAAGGATTCCAAGGCTTTGTCTAACATACTTTGGACATGTTGTGAAGAGGGACTGGTCCTTGGAGAGGGACGTCATACTTGGAAGGTGGAGGGCAGGCGCAGGAGGGAAGGCCCTCTATGAGGTGGATTGATTCAGTAACTGGGGAAATCGGGATGGGTGTATCAGAGACAGTGCGATTGGCACAGGACAGAGCAGAGTTTAGAGCTGTTGTACATAGGGTCGCTATGAGTTGCAAGCGATTTGATGGCACATAACAACAACAACAACAACATTGTTTTTTGGTGCCATCAAGTCAAATACAACTTATAAAGACCCTATGAACAACAGATCTGAACTCTGTCCTATCCTACACCATCCTCATCATTCCTGACATACTTGAGCGCACTCCTGTAGTCAATGTGTCAATCCTTCTGGTTGAGCATTTTCCTCTTTTGCTGACCCCTCTCCTTTTCCAATCTTGACATCCCTCTCTAAGAAATAGCATCTCCTAATAACATGCCCAAAGCATGTGAGATGAAGCACTGTTATCTTTGCTTCATTCAGCTCACTTGTTAGAGCTTATTGAGTTTATTCATATAATTTGCTATTATTTGATGCTGCTAATGCATCAAGATGAGCAGAGGTGGGGAAGTAGAATATTTTCTGATCTCGGATTACAAGTTTTGTGTGGTCAGGTCTCTCTATGATCCTTGTGGGACCACAGGATCCGTTATGTTAATGGTTATCAGTTATGGTATTATCTGAAGGTCAGGGTAGGAAGCTTCTACAGCCACTTATCCAATGGATGGGAAGGCCCTTTGTTCATGCATAAATGATGGTGGGGAAATCAAGGGACTGAATTTAGTGTTTGTTCAATTGGCATATTGGAAATGTTTTAATATGGAATGTGGGATGCTTAAGCTGGGAAGACAATAGATGCAAGTATTAGAACCTTCTCCTTATAGCTAAGGAGAGGTACTTACTACTGGTGTCTATTAGGATGTGACTGTGTTGCTTATGCGGTGATGTGCCTATCAATCCAGTTATTGGGTGGTTCAGGGCATACTTTGACCATCTGTTGGGTTATGGGTTCTATGGATTTAATATGCTGGTTGTCAAGTAGTCAGAGTAAGGGTGCACATGTCATTGGACTCTGGATGGGTGGCATGTGACACGTGATCCACTAGAGCATCAACTACTGGGGAAGCAGGAAAGGGGTGGGTAGAAGTAGCACTGTCAATCACCAGGGGACTTGGAGTTGGGAAAGTAGAGTCCTGTTGGAGAGTTCATTTACAGGCACCAGGAGAGCAGAGTGATGGGGGGTAGCAAGTGGGCAGAAGGGATGAAGCATATGTGCTATGAACTGCTGGGCAGGGGAGAGGCAGCAAGCAAGGGTACTGCCTGATGCCAGGTAGGTGGAGGCTAGAGAAGCTAAAACTTCTGGCAACCAAGAGTTAGGGAATGGGGAAAGGAGGGAACTCCTCTAGTTGCTAATTTCTAGCGTGGCCATGAAGGAATGCCACTCTAAGTCTCAGGGCCCTGTCGTCTTCATGTGAGGGGCAGTGGGGAAGGACTGTCTGGACCCCAAAATCTCCAACTGCTCCTGTATGAACTAGGTTTCAACCAAACATCTAGGAACCATAGCTAAAGGGAAGCTCTGTCGCTACTTTGTAGATCACTTCCTGCCCTGAAGTTCTCTGGAGTTTCAGAGCTCACCTGTCTTCCTGCACTTTTCTCCTTAGATCTGCTTTGTGTTCCGCTCCCTTTGCTTCATTCAAGATATGTCTCCCTTGGATCTCTGTCTCCTCCTGTGGATTCTGCAAAGTTACCTTCCTATGCTCTTCACTTTAACACATTGCTTACTTTGTCTGAAAATGGCAACCCTCTAGAGATTTGGGGTCTCTATGTGTCCTATTTGAGGTTTTCATTCAGTTTCTCCTTTCTTTCAGTGTTTTATCATTCTTCACCTTCCGTGTGCTGCTCAGGGTTACAGGAGTGTCAACTGTATGTGTTTCACTTGATTTCTCCTGAAATTTAAACTCTAAAGAGATGATGTTTTATTCAAGGAAAGGTTTTTGGTGTGCCTGTTCAGCAGCACAAATTTTCAAGTGTGTAATATGCTCATCAAATATTATGACTGAACAATACTGACTGGTTTATGTGTTCTACTGAAAGAATGATCACATCTATCTCTGAAGAAGTAAAGTAAGAATGCTGCATAAAACTGAGGATGGCAAGACTTTATCTCATGTGCTTTAGAAATGCTATTAGGAGAGACCAGTTCCAGGAGAACGGGATCATGCTTGGCAGAAAAGAAAGAAGATCATCAATCAGATGCATCAGGGCTGGAAGAAGACTCATCAACAA